CAGTTTCCTGAAGGATTCTACACTACCAGCCAGCCCCTTCTGGAATTCATCCCGTGTCCCATCGTCTCCCAAACGCTCTACCTTCCATCGGAACACTTTCCTCTGTTTCTTACTCTTGATCTTTCTGGATCGGTCGATGTTTGCCCATATGAGGAAGTGGTCGGTCGAACCTATATCTATCGCACTTATGTGCAGCTCTGGGATCTGCGAGGGAGGAGGGGTATCGGTAAAAGACGCTTTTCCGTGCAAAGAACAACAAAAAACATACGGGTGTCCTTAAAGCGGTGTCGACTGCAAATAGTTGCCACCTCTCCCACTCACGTTCATGAGCTTCTCCACCTCCTTGAGGGTCTCGGGGTCTTCGAGATCTTTAAGCAGGTCGTTCATGAGCCCGACATCGCCCGCTGTGTTGAGAAAGGAACGACCGATACAAAACCGACGAGCTGGGTCATGGGGTCACGTTTCATATGCGGCGGGGCTCTGCAGAATGCAGGTGTACACAAGGTAAGGTTTACCTTTTGGATGGAGAAAGTCAAGGCATGTGCCTGCGAAAGTCAAGGCTTGGGTATGCCATTGGATGGGGGGGGGAGGGGCGTACCCGTATATTTTGGATGCCTTAGCGCTTAGACCACTGGCCACGCGTCCTCGAGAGGCTAGTTCCCATAAGGGAGGTGCTAGTGGATGGTTGTGTGCCCGCAACGTCCAGACCCAAGCGCCAACAGCCCATCGACGGTACACACAAAAGATGTGTGTGTGGGGGGGGGAGAGGTGGATGGATATATTCTGTAAGTTGGGGTCTTTAGCAACTACGACATGCATGCTACCAGCGGTGACGACGCGGAGTCTTCCGCTACACAATCGTCGCCGGGGTTCGAGCAGCGGAAGCATGCCTTGTCTGTCTACCTTCTGTACAATGTCCAAGAGAAAATGACATGCGTCTCCGCGCTTTGAATGCATGGGCACATCTGGCGCAACACAAACCTCGTGACTCTTGTCGAGAGGAATCCAGTATATCTTCAGTACTCCGAGTAGAGGCATTTGCGATGCGCAACACAAGCAGTGTCACAATGTAGCGGGACGTCTTCACTCGCAAGCTCTGGCGAGGCTCTCGCTTTTGATCGTTTCGGGTGGAAAAAGCGCGACAGCAAAAGGACGGCAGCTCTCACCTACTTGGCGGAAACCGGCGCGGCCAAGTTCGACGGCATCCTTCCCCGTGGGCATCTCTGGCTCCTCCTGTTCAAAACCACACCACACCACACCACAACGAGAAATTCGAACGAAACTGAGCGCGTCCAAAACATTTTCAAGAATTGTAGCTATTATAATGAGCGTCACAACTGTAACTGTCGCGGGAGACAAGTATGGGCACCGTCCAGGCAGCAGCTGCATCCTTGGTTCACTTGGGTTTTTAACCCAACAAGATGGAATGTAATATAGGATGATGTGTATTGCGCTGGGACACGTGGAGCCCCGAGCGCCAAGACAAGTAGGTGTTCGGCCTCTGATTGGTCCACTTTCTTGAAAACAAAACAAAACAAAAAATCGACACATTTCTCAGCGCGGAGAGCAACTAAGCCGTCTCGATCTGATGAAGCTGCTGCTGACTACGTACCCTCGGTCCCGACATGCTGGAAGAGAGCGGGAGCCGGGGAAGGGCGCATGTTTCCACATGCAGGAGACCACTTGTAGCCTTACGGGTTAACCAGCCCGTCCCACGTAATGCGCGGAATGTATAGTCTAGTGAAAGGCGTACCATCCAGGTGGTGGGCACACACTATCTCGCAAGGGTGTGCCAGAGGTAGCGCGCTGAAACAAGCACAACGAGCAACACCAGCAACTGTGTGTGATGCAACGCGAGAGCTTGGTAGCTTGCCTGCCGTGTCTGGTTGAATTCGGAAGGTGACCTTGGATCATACAGCCGCTACACACAACCACGGGGCAGCGCACTCACCAACCCGCGCGCATGGACAGCAAGCAACAACAACCAGGACAGCCATATCAATAATATCTCTCTCTCTTTCTCTCTCACGCCCATTCTTCTTCTCTCACATCTTTCTTCTTGCCCCCGCCCCAAGCGTCTGCCCTGCAGCTGAAGCCCAGCAATGTCGCCCCCACACCGAGAAACATGAACCTGACCATCTTTTCTTGTCAAAGACTGGACGACAGCGTAGCGAATCAACGATACGGGCGCCGTGAAGAGATGCTGGATAGCAGTTGATCTGGTCCTATGTACGGGATCGTGAAGAAGGAAGTGGTGAAGCAGGTAGAGTAGCACTTGTGGGAGCAGAGGGTCGGAGTCGGGAGGGTGTGGGTTGTAGGGGGTGCGCCGTGAGGGTGTGATACATATGTGCGTTTTTTTGAGAGCTAGCAGCGGTGCCCCCCAGTAAAAACGTATCATTCATTGCCCTGGTGGACCGGGACCAAACACAAGCATTACAAGGGAGGAGGGAGCATCGAACGGGGTAGCTCGTGCTCTCTACGCAACGAAATAGTCAGCAATCATGTTCTCCCGTGCAGCAATGGAGGCGGCTCGGGTTGCACGGTCCGTCCCTTTGGTGAGGAGAAGCGAAAACGAATGACGGCAGTTTGTGTGCGCAGGCAGGAGCAGCTCCTGCCAGAGAGGCACGGAGAAGGCATGGTCGCCATGATTGCCGTGGCAAGCGAGACGGCGTAAATGTGGGACCACAGCAGCACCACCGCCTCTACCTCGCTGAACGTCTTGTCTCGAGCCATGCGAAGACATGTTTGCGAGAGCCGCATTGGCTAGTCTGAGTGTTGTGTTCGCCTCCGACTTGGGGTATTTTTTTTTGTGCGCGCCCACAACCAGCTCAGACGTCGGGACCCTTTAGCTTGTTTCTCTCAGTGGTGCCTCACGATGCGATTCCGACGAGCTGACCACGTGGTGTGCAAGCATGGAGATCAGTTTGCCCGCGGCTTTCTCTACACTAGGTCTGGGTAGCGATGCGTTCGTGCAAATAAATCGGCCCTGCTGCTGCATTTGCTGTTTAGCTCGTGAAGAGCAACGAACCTGTCACTCAGCTGTTTTATACTGACTCTGCCGAACGCCTTCTGTGCCCGATCTGCACACGGCGCGCTGCTTTCAAAACGATGGCAGTGTAGACTACTGCTGTAGTTTGTCAGCGCGAGCAACAGAGTGGGCTTTTTGTTGTTGTTGTGGAATTGCGTTGGGGTGTTAAAATCTGCGAAAAAGGGGAGCGTGGTTCTGTGCGGAGCTATTGGTGAGACCGCTTCACAAATCAGTCATGATATTACTGCTGCACACTGCTGTACAACAGTAGTGCCGTCGTTGGTGCCACACGCCGGGGAAAGCATCTTTAATACATGTCGCACGTGTCAATGGGGGCTCCTGAGTTTGGAGTCAGAGAATCGAGCACTGATGTTGCGGTTCCGTCGTAGCTGCTTCCCCGTAGTGGAGGCGGGCAGCACCAGGATGTTGTCGGAATATCTGGTCTCTGACGTGGGGATAGCGCAGTCTGTGCCCGGCTTGGACGGGAAGACGCGCGGCTCAACCTCCGTGTGTGTTGGTATCCTCAATATTTTGCGTGCGAACCAGCGCAGTCTCGCTGCTACTTTGTGTGTTTTGTTATCTTGTATTTTGTCTCTATGCGTTCGGTGCATAGCGCAGTCCGTGTTTTGAAACGACTGGAGATAGTGGCGCTTCGCTGCTGTGTCTTGCGTAGTTGTCCCGCGTGACATACAGCATGTGTGTGCCTCCCTCAACACCGTACCGTTACCAAACCTGTCTCGACTCGACCAGACCAAGAAATCGACCCTTTCAGCAAGAGAGCTCAGGTCTGGATGAATACTCTGGACAACACCAACGAAGCAGCAACGAAAACATCAGCAGCAGCAACAGTGACTGTCGCGGTCTTCCAACTGCAGACGTTGTTGTTGGTGGTCGTTGTTGATGCCACTGTTGTTGTCATCTTTTTTGCCTTGCCTTGCTCACCACCAGGCAGCGGCAGCGAGCTTGCTGTGGCTATCTCGGCACCTTCCATGCCTAGCACCCTGAGAACGTTGCTTGAAAAGGCCAGCCTTAAGCTGCTTCCCCCGACCGTCGCCCTTTCGCTTTTGCTGGTGCACCCAGAGAGCCCGCGTGGCTGCGGCGGCCAGCGCGGCGGCAGGGGCCGCGGCGGTGGGAGGCGCGACGGTGCTCTGCGACGACGCCGTGCACACGGCGGAGTACGACTGGCCGCACTCAGGGTTCCTACAAACCTTCGACCACGCAGCGTGAGTTGTTGTGGTCGTTGTTTTCGGGAACGTGGACAGGGAGGGGCTTTCGGCTGCAGCGTTCCCGCCACTGCTGCTCTTTTTATCTTCATCCGTACCTGATGTATGCATGCAGTGTCAAATGCCTTGATCAATCTCATTCTAGTCATCAGATCAAGTGTTGCCAAACATATTCATCCGCGACCAACTATTTGCTTTGGCTTCTCCAAAATGGGAATTGGGCACGCTGTGGTCTTTCTTGTCTAATGTTACGCCTGTTTGCAACTGCGCGTAATAAAATTCTGCCACACCTTGACACCCATTTTCTCATTTTGAGGTTTTCGGGGGGAGGGGGGGCACCGTACTCTCAAGTACGGAGCATACTGGAGTAAATAATAGGGGGCCCGCGTTGGAAACCAGGTTTATGTCGGGATACGCCTATCCGCCAGCTAGGATCCTCTCTTGATAACCCGCTAGCCATGCTCACACAGCACGGGTGCGTATTTAGCACAACCGAGAGAGTACCTATCTCGTGAAACGTCGTCACTAGCACCACACGACGTGTCCCAGATTACGACTTGCTTTAATTTGCTTTAAGTGAGCTGGCTCCAAACCCCAAGAAGAGAAAAATATTCAAAATATTTTTTGTCGGCCCTCCGGCGGCGGGAGAAACTCTAGGCAGTGGTGCGGGATGACTTTTGGTCGCGCATCCTTGATTTGCAAAGTGTTTTATCGCTTGACTCCTACAGACCGGGTGAATCGTGTCCTCCTTGCCGCCGTCCATCATGTGCTCCTTGTCATCCGGGCTGCTGTCGACTTTTCCGTCGTCTCGTTTCTGTCTTAATCAACGTCTGTTTGACTCTCTGCAGACTCTTGATTAGGTAGCATCCACCGCGCTACCCGGCTTCAACGAAAAGGAACCAGTCTTGATCAACACGTGCCCGGCGTTTTTCTTTTTTTTTTTCAGAATCCGCCGAGGGTGGCAGGTGTACCGGGAGGTCTGCTCGACCTGCCATTCGATTAAGTTCGTCGCCTTCCGCAACCTCATCGGAGTTTCCCACTCGGAGGCCGAGGTGAGGAAGAGGAGGAGGAGGGGTTGCTCGCCTTGTTTTTGAGCTACCGTATACATGGCGGGTGGGGGGAAAGGGTGGTACTCTCATGTTTTGCGTGCCTTTTGGGGGGTTAGACCAACCGGCCACGCGTATTCGAGAGGACGGAGCATTGTTCCCACAGGGACCGATAATCGCAGGGGGGATGTTGCAGGGGGGTGTTCATGGCTCGGATCCCTGACGGGGGTGGCGGAGAAGCTTGAGGCGAGTCGTTAGCTTTAGCTTTGTAATGCAGCGGCACTCGTGTTTGCGCTACACAGTACGCGGGGATCTTGTAGCCGCGTTTTTCTGCTGGAGGAGCTGTCGCCCGAACGAAAACACGCGACCTGAACGAGTGTGGGCCACCTCAATGGACCACCTCAAATCAAACGAAGCCGCAAACTCTGCCGCGTATTACATGCGCGGCTGGGAAGCGGTAGTACTAGAGTATTCAAGGAATGACGACCAGCCCTCACACAAGCCTGGTACGGATGGAAGGTTTTTGAGGGTGGTGTCCTCAACGATGAGTCACCACAGAAAAATAAAGATGAGAAATACATCGCAAAACATGCGTACATACATACCTGGCCCCTGTTTTGACTGTTCGTTTCCGAGCCCGCAGCGGCGGATCCCGCGCGTGCCTCGTCAAGCGCTCGATTCAATCAGCATGCAATACGTACCACGGATCAACTTCTGTCTCACACTGACTGTTTTTTTTTTTTTTCTTGGGGCACCGAAACGGCGGGGTCTGAACGAAATATGTAATTCGTTGCAGGTTAAGAAGATCGCGGCGGAGTTTGAGGTAGAGGACGGGCCGAACGACGAGGGCGAGATGTTCGAGCGCCCCGCCAAGCCTTCCGACCGGTGAGGAGCTCATGTCTCGGGGCGAGGGAGGGGGGGTGCGGGGTTACTCATGTAAACATGCGGGAACCAGTTGGGTCATTGACCTCGCATCCCGAGAATGCCGGGACGGAGCGATATGCCGGTTCTTCGCCGGTTAGAGGCTTCGTTTCACCAGGATGTTCCAGAAGCTGGTCATCATTGTTGCGGTTGACGTGCCAAGCCAGATATATCGCATGTGTAGATTGGGCATATCTACAGGCTTGACGCGATTCGCAGCGTCTCGGCCGCATGCTGCTACTGTTTCCATAACGGGGCAGAAGTCGTGATGAAGTTTTTCAGACGGAGGTGGCGGGCGGGTCCTGAAGAAATGAGGAAGAATTCCATTGATGGTCAGCGCACGGAAGATGGGCGTGGGGCTCAACCGCGCACGGCGTAGACCTGGGGTGGTGTGTGTAGTTGGCAGCGTTCGAGCAACGTGTTGCTGCTGTGTTTGATTTCGTGTTCCTCACTGGCTCCGACGCTCTGATGTCCTTACGGCCGACATCTCTAAACACAGTGCACCCCCCGACCTTTTATAAAAATATACATACAAGCGCAGAGAGACTTGTGCCAGTTCGAGATATAACCGCACTCTGTTGTTCGTGCGTCTCCACGCCCATCATGGGCCGCAAAAATAACAAATCAAGGCGTGTGTCCTGCTGTTGTTTTCCCGCAGCATCCCCGGCCCGTACAAGAACGAGGCCTCCGCGCGCGCGGCTAACAACGGGGCCTACCCCCCGGATCTCTCGCTCGTGGTGAAGGGGCGCCACCTGGGGCACCACTACGTGATGTCCCTTCTGACGGGCTACACCGAGCCCCCCGTTGGCAAGGACCTCCTACCCGGACTTCACTACAACCCCTACTTCCCCGGTGAGCACACAGTTGCTGCTCTGGAGGGATGGGGTACTTGTGGTCATACCCGGCAGTAGCCGGTAGACTATACCTCGACTTTACTGAGCGTTGATCGGCTGGCGGTGTTTTGCCCTAGAGGGAGGGGAGGCGGGGAGAGGTTGTAGTCATACACGGGGATGTTTAGCTCGGTATACACCCGAGCATGGTACCATCGGGAGGAGAGCCGTGGCGAAGAGATAACGCCCAGGCTCTAGTACATCAGAACTCAGAAAACAGAGAGTTGAGGGCGAACTTGTTAACTGTACCGACTTAAATGGTCTTTACCAAGGGACGAGGTTCTGTCTGTTGTCTCTGTTGATTGGAGGTCAAACGGTGCACAACTGCCTCGCTTGCTTGGGTGCCGTCTTGTGACGGTACAGTACCCCGTGCTGGCGGAAGGCACGGCTTTCGACCTTCTTGTGCCTGTTTCCCCTTTGTTTCGTTTTGTTTGGTCTTCGTGGGTCTCGCCCGCATCCGACATACCATGTTCTCATCCTCATCCCTCATGCGGTGTCGTTCTTGTCGTGTCTTGCAGGGACGTCTATCTCCATGCCCCCTCCGCTCATGGACGGTCAGGTCGAGTACCCGGACGGGACACCAGCCACCGTATCCCAGGTGCGCGTTAGCATACGTTTCGATAGGACTTGTGGGCGAGAGAGCGAGTAGTCTGCATGCCGAGACCTAGCGGTTGGAAATGCTGCTGCTGGGACGGTAGTCGCGCGATAGAACTCGTAGTCACCATGCCGTGGCGCAGCGGTTGAGAAATGTTGCTGCTTGTAGTACCAAGAATGCTTGTCTGCAGCCGCCTAGATCGTTGGTAAAGTAGAGAAGAAGAGACCAACCCCAGGGATAGTGGGAGGTTCAGGGAGGATTGGTGCTCACCGTGAAACGGAAAGCCCAGGGACTACCGTAACTCTAGGGAGATGACGGGGAATGTGGGAGTATGAGATGTCCACGCCCAAAGTTGAGGAGAAGGTAGACAGGGCGCCTCCCGGCGTTGGTATCTACTCACGGTGGGTCCATCTTTCGTTTTGGTAGGCTATGGTGGCAGGACTTCAAATAGACGCCCGGTCATCGGCTCAGCAACGAAGAACAGGTGGCGGACCCCCTCCCCCCCCCTCTACACTACTCTCTGGTTCTGACGCTCTCCCTCTTTCAACTTGCCCCGAATGTGTCCTCAGATCGGTTGTCGTTGCTTATCCCTTGAAAGATGCCTGACGCCCTCCCCCTCCCTCGCACGTTTCCCCTGCCCCGACTGCTGTGTCATGTACCCGTTTATCGGGGTCGTCGTGACTTTGTGGCAGATGGCCAAGGACGTGACCACCTTCCTCGCGTGGTGCGCCGAGCCGGAGATGGACGAGCGCAAGCGCATGGGCATGAAGTGGTGCTCGGCCATGTTCCTCGGCCTGGCCCTGTCTATGTACTACAAGCGCTTCCGGTGGTCGCCGCTCAAGACCCGCAAGATCACGTACCACGACATCAACCGCTAACGATAGCTGCGGTAGTTTTGACCGAGGCCAACGCATTCCCGTTAATAGAAGTGCGGTTCGTTTTCGCTGCCGCCCCTGGGGGATATGATGTTGCGGGGTCGAGTTCGGTTTTTACTTGTGGTAAACACAGAAGCGGTGCTCCGTAGGCTGGAATCACACCTCCTCCTGCAGGATACGCACGCACACTTGGCTTTGGAGGGCCCATGGTGGGCCAGGGGGAAAGGGGAAGAAAGGGGAAACGTGACGCGCAGAAGAGACACTTTTATGCTTTTGGCGAAGACCTCTTGAGCAGCGTCGTTGGTCGTTCGCGCTCATGAGGGGGTGACGTTGGGAGGAAGCCCACACTGGTGGTAGTCTTGATATTCGCCTCAAGAGCAAGGAAGTTTTTCTGGCCGTGGTGTTTAGGGTGGTCGAGAGCTGCAGTCTAAAGCGTCCATTTCGTTTGCTCGACGGGAGTCCTGCCCCTCCCTTTGTTTGCGTTTTGTGAAGGGTTTGGCCCCAACCAAGGGGACAGCGATCGATGATCGATCGGAGGAAAGAGAGAAGCAAGCGGGGAGGGAGTTGAAGAGGTCTGGGCAAGGTCGTGTGGCGTGAGCTACAACGGTGCGTGAGCTTCATGCAACACCTCGCTTCAGTTGCGGGAAGACGTTCGACATCACTAAGTAGGAATTTTTTTTCTAGCCACCATGTTCGTTCGTGCAACGCCGGATGATGTGCGTCAGGAATCTGCACCGAAAGGAGTGTTATGGCCAGCACCAGCGCGCACACATGCGCGCGCCTTGGGTCCTTGTGCGCAACTTAGCCACCTGGCAGTGCGGTGCAGTTCGGCACGTCAATCCTTGGTGTTAGAAGTAGGCACTCTTGAAACGCCCAGCCAGAGTGCATTAACTGCTGTGACTTCGATCCATGGCAGCAGTTGGTGCCGAAGGGCATCAACTTGCTGTGGACTACGCACCGACTGCTTCTTTCGAGGTCGACTCTTTGGCACCCGACTAAACAGGTGATGCCTTTGCACAACGCCTGGGTGGAATAAAGGCCACCTTTGCTCCTCGGCGGAGAACACCCGAGAAACGGCGCATGTCGGCGTGTTGGGATACACCCACGGGTCACACGCAAGCTGAGAAGGTTGCCCCGGAAGCGTTGCTGCTGGCTTGGAACACGGTACGGGGGCTTCGTGTTTGTGGTCCACAAGCAAAAACATGGTTCACTTTTTCTTTTTATGCCGTTTCGTGTGTGTAGCGGGGCATGTACAAGCATCGGCTTCAGCCTTCGGCCGCACCTCTCCGCGAAGACATGTAACTCTTAGGCCCTTCGAACACACGCCCTTTTCGACAACGCTCCTCCACCGTGACAAACAGTTGCTCTGAGGACTGGTTTAAACATGGCTCACACTGCGCGTGCAAAACAAGACAAGACTAAACCCAACCTTTGCAACAAAAACAACCAAATCTCGAATATTTATGTACCCTTCCCTCCCATCGTCTAGCCTAACAGAAATTAAGTAACTTTACAAAAATGAACAACGCCGCTGTGTTGCGTATCAAGCAGCCCTACTGCTGATGTCGATAGCACGAGAACCGCGGCTGTTGGACACGAACTTTCTGTCCAAAAACAACACAAACAACACACGGGAGAGACGTGAAAACAAACTGATGTGTCTACATAGGTCTACTCGTCAGCCTCGTCGATCTTGGGTGCGAGGTAGTACCGTACGTAGCCGAAGGTCTCGATGGGGTACTCCACAACTACCGGGTTGTCTGGTGTCATAGAGATGGTCACCGTAGGGCCCAACGGGGTTGCTTTCGCGAAGAGCGCAAGGTACCGAAGCGCGAACTTGAGAGTGACGGGCTCCTCCATCGTCACCGTCACCTTGTCCTGAAAAAAAAAAGGAGAGAAGCGATGGTTCGAATTAGAACCAAGGACTACCTACGCAACGGAAGTAAGCGAACTACGAGGTAAGACCAGGCAGGGGGCACGCAGACCCTGACCCTAACTTAGCCGATTCAATACTTGATCCGACATGTTTGTATGCATGTAATGAAAAAAACATGAGTAGACCACAAGAGAACCAACGCTTGAATAGGCTTTCAACATGGAAAATACATATCAATAGGTGCTCCTTCGAACGATCTCCGCACCAGCAAGAAAGAGTCCATTCGAAAAACAAGACGGGAAAGGATTCTCGAGACCGATTGCTCCCTGAGGTGCGACAAGGAACGAGACTCCGCCATGACAGAATTATTATTTCCCTCGAAGCAGAAAAAGGGCGTCCTCACGGACGGTGCTGCGATTCTCACTCCTTATTTCTGTCCGCTGTCCGAATTCAGACGTTTCCAATGTGAACTCCAGCACAGGCTAAACCTCAAACCCCAATACCAACCGCAACTACATACTGCCGTCGATGAGGATCAACTCTAATGTGACACAAGATATCACGCCCCCTGGATCGATTCTCACACCTCCATTAAACCACGACGAAGAGCATGAATGAGTCAAATACAAATTCCAAAACTCTCAACGAGATGGTGCCGACGCCGCAATGTCAGGGCTCCGCACACTCTTGCTGCTGTGGAGTAATCGGGCTTGGAGAAGCAGTCCAGGGGGCGTGGTATTCTACGTCACCTGCGGTAGATGAGAGTTTTCCAAAATCCCACGGTAGATGAACTTCTCCCGAAACAACACAAAGCAGCGAGAGCACTTACATGCTACGGTAGATGAAGCCTCTCCAAAAAAACAACTCACAACAAGAAGCGCGCCACCCCCGCGTGTCTGCCTGCAGCTCTCACCTCTTCCTTGTCGACCGAGGTGTTGTTTCGGACCATGATGTTGCCCTTCCCCATGTCCCCCGATACGGAGAAGTTAACCCCGTCCTTGTCGCACGCGATGGTGCACGTGTCCCCGATCACTTGCAAGTCCCTCATGATTCGCGCGAACTCTGCCGAAGGCATCTGTGGTGGTGTTGTCGAGATAGGAGGCGTGCCAACACGGCAACAAACAGACGGAATACAAGGTCAGGAAACAGGAAACGGCGGTTGTGCGGACGATCGAACCGCGTTGCAACGGGTGCAGCAAAGAGCTCGTTTGTTCACAATATACTTCGAAGTATACGTTTTCTTCTCAGTTGCACCGCACCGTCGCCGTGGGTAAAAGATGGGAGGCCCACCCTGAACGACGAAGCAGTCGTGATACAGTGCACCACTGCGTTTTGGTATACACGCGTGAGGAAAAGGTCGATACAACGTGTTGTGGCAGAACCAGCCACTCGGGTTGAGGAACAAACGCATCAAGACAACATATATCGTTCGCAGGTTGTCTATCCTGAGGAACTAAACTACGTTGCACAAGTACACCTTGACAGGAGACCAACAATACTTCCGAGCTTGTGATGTTCCAGCCCCTGCGATTCTAACCGTTTACGGGTACCGAGGGCGCTGGAAACGAGACGTCTCGCTTCCAGCGTCCTCGGTATCGTCGACGGCTACCCCGAATCGCAGGGGTTGGAACAGCACAAGCTCGGAGCTACACTTCAACACCACGTCACAGCAGTAAAAAATTACAGTAGTCCACACACCGCTACGGTCTTCCAACACCGGGTTTACTAGTATTATATGTTTCAAGTCGTCGGCAGCAACGCCTCCAACACCACTGCCCACCTGGATGATGCAGTTGTACTCTGTCTTTGGGATCCCCAGGTGCTCGCTGTCAATGTCCATCAACTTGAGCTCGAAGTCCGAGATGCGGTCTTGGTCTGTAAGACAGGGAGGGAGATCGATAGCGAGAGAGGGAAGCACGCCGAGTGAAAACGGGATGTGTGAGTTGCTTTCACGCACGACCAAGAGCACGAGGGGGCAAAATCCGAGATGGCGGCTGTGTCATTCCATTCCTTCCAAAGCGCACTGTTGTACTTGTTGGCGTCTACCTTCCTCCGGCAAATGACGACCAAAGCCCACAACAAGGGCGGTGTGAATTTTGAATTGTTGAAAAAATAGCAAGTTCTCGTCTCGCCAATAGGTGGTGCACAGCCGGGAGAGCCAAGAGGTTCTGTGAAGGTGACCACCACAGCCTGTAGCGTCAACTAAGGTCCATCCCAAAGGCGTGTGGTCAACGGGTGGCCTCGCATCCATACTCCAGAGCCTCTGTGCAGGAGCTACACGAGCGCAGCAGGCGGTCTGTTTCGGCGGGGTTGGATGGTTGGATTCAAAACTGAGATAGACAAAACGGCAGATAGCACTCTGTAGGACACACATTCCGCGTCTGTCATGGCATCGAGAGCGTACAGCGCGGTGCTCCCTGATGAGTGGCCAGTCGCAACTACCGCGCCACCGGCAGAAAGTGCGGCGGCTTGGAATCAGATCCATCGAATGGCAGCAGCATCCATCCACCTTTTGGCCCACTGGTTTTCAAAACGAAATGATGATGCTGCGCTGATTTCAAAAAGTCGGGTTGAGCTTGAGTTAGGTCCATGCCAACAGCTTGGCATGCCCTCGCACCCGACCTACTCCCAGACGACGGAAGCATACCAGGATCGCAATATGGCCAAGATTCATCTCCTTCCCCTGCGCTACCGCTGCTGCATGTGACCCTTCAACCCCTGTAACTCATATCCGAGAGACACTCCTCTGTGTGTGGCGCGCGCGCAAAGCAAAACCGATTGATTTGTCACGCGCTCCGTCAAAATTAAGAAAGAGCGCGTCGTCCAATCCAAAACAAATCAACTCATTGGGGGCAAACGCCCTGCGGCCGAAAATGTTTGCTCTATCGCAAGCCCCAGAAGACAAAAATGTTCTCTCTCTCTCTTTGCTTGGTGCAGGTAAGGGCATGATAGACCACTACAAACTCACTTGCGCTCTCGAACACGATGGTGAGGGAGTCTGCTGTGTCCTCCGCCTTCAGAGTCACGGTGTCGTCGTTCCCCGCACACTTGAGGATCTTGGAGATGCTGCCCGTTGAGAGACCGAGCGAGAGACTCCGGTCGCACCGGTAGTGCTGGAAGCCGTCGCTGCGGATCATCAGCGCGCAGAGAGAGACGTGGCTCGAGTCCATCGCCTGCATCGAGATGCCCGACTCGGAACAGTCGAGGTTCGCATCGGTCACCAGCTCTCGCACGGCCTCGATGATCTTCTTGAGAAGAGACGCCTGGAGCAGCCTCGCTTCGTACATTTTGAGGAGAGAGAGAGTGGGTAGATAAGTGGTGGTAGCGGGTGTGTGTGGTTGAGGGAAGCAGGTGAAGTTGGAGGGCGAGCGCGTGCTGCAGTAGATATCGGCGAGACAGGTGGTGCCGATTTGTGCGAGGCAAGTTTTCAAAAATGGGGGCACCGCGGAATCATACAGACGAAGCTGGTTCCTGTCGTACATGCTATACATTCGGCGGGGCGGGAGGACACGAGCGGGACACGAGCGGTATTTGGTATTCAGTTTGGTAGTCACGTGGTGGTGCGTTACCATCACCTCACGCCACCTCTGTCACACTACAACTGCTGTTGTATCGACGTTCAATTGCGTACGACGGTGTCGGTTCATGGTCTGTCATGTGAGGTGTCGATTTTAAAAATACAGCAGTATCCCTCAGGTCCTGTCCTTACATTGATTAGGAAACAAAACACAAAAACACAGAAAGACTTTAGATGCAATTTGTGTATCTACAGGGTAGGTTACACGAAGTCTTTGAATCTCCATTTCTTGCAATCTCGAACGGCTGGTCTTTCTGTGAGGTTATGTTTACTTTGTTAGCAAAAAGCTTAAGTGCTGTGCTGGACTTGACGTAGATTGAAAAAAGCTTCGCAGTGCTCTCGTCAACACAAAAAGACGGCGAAGCTCGTGCTCTCATGGATGTCTGATGCAGGCCTATAATAGTCTACCTCGAGAATGCTGCACTGGAAGAAGGGGCTGTTGATTGTGACGCGTTCACCGAGAGGGAGGCGATGGCTCCCCTTGAGTGTTTGAATCCCATGAATGGTCTATTTACACACACACACACAACACGATGTGCACGATGAGGCTCGAAACGCCTCGTCCGGACGAAAACTACAGTAGCGCCACCTTGAGGAACCTCTACCTCCGAAGATACGCGATTTCGAAGTCTTGTGCGCAAACACTCTCTGATCATACCTAGCATACAACCACACGTGGTTACTCGGGAGTTGGGAAAATCTCACCCCTCCCCTCCGCCGGGATGCCCAATCCATTCATCGCCCTAAGAACGTGTCTCGCCATGTCCCCATCCCATAGATTCATGCGCCCATGACAGGGTCTTGCGATGCAAACTCCACGGATCATGTGCAGCACGGTCGTTCGTGTCGGGCGCAGAGCAGTCAAGCACACGATTCGACCTCACCCCGAGAGGATGTCAAAAGACAACAAACAGCTGCCACCCAACGCCTACACGGCTATGTATGCATAGCACTCCTGCTGTCCACGCATGACAGGAAGCAAACGAGAATGCGACTTAGCGATGTGTGGAGAAAAGAGACGTGCTTTGCCTGCGGCACTGCCCCGGCGATGCAGGAAGACCAAATTAGCTGTGATGTGCGATTGTTTTTGCGCATACCGTGTACAATGTACTATTAATAGTGGCAACTGCGTTGGAAACGCTCTGCATGCCCAGCTTCAAGGACATGGACAAAAGGGCCGCACGCACAAATCAGGTTCAACGCAAACACACACACTACCGGCAAGCGTGGTCCGTGCCATACATACATGTAGCAAGGAAGACCTTGCAGAACACGGGGTGACAGCTCGGACATAGATTGCCTCTAGGGTTTCCGCGACCTAACGCACATGACCATCGTAACAACTTTCGTACGCATGGCGAGCTTGGGCCACAAAGAATCGGACCCAATTAGAGCCAAAGCTAGCAATCCACATGTGTTCACGTGACCGACACATATCACATTTCGTCTAGGTCTACGATCTCTTCCTCCTGCTCCTCCTGCTCCTCCTCTTCCTCCTGCTCCTCGTCCCCATCCCCGTCTCCTTCTAACCCGAAGGTCTCCCCCGCATTGCCCTCTTGATCACCCTCGTCCACCGCCTCGAAGAGGAAGTTATCCGCCTGCGGGGGAAAGCACGCCAACCAACAGCAGTGGAAACCCCGAGAGAAATTAGTATCACGGAACCAATGTGTGCTTAGGACGGAGGCCATACCATGTGCCAGCTGCTGAATTGCGTTGGCTTCGCACTTTGTTATACACGTACCATGCCACCCTTGTAGACTCTGAATCTGTCTCTTCTCACAACCGAGCGATTGAAGCTACTTCCAATCGCGCAATCCGACTCGCCCTTCATGCGAAACACAAACCGCAAAAGAAAGCTCGTTGGTTGGTTGCGCTGCCCTTTGAAACCAAGAACGCTTTTCTGTGGAAGCAAGAGATCTTGTCACGAAATCGCCCCACAGCTTCAGACAAGAAATGCAAGGGTACCCCCCATCCCTACCCACCCACCCACCCACCACTTCTCTTTACGCACCCCCAAGAAACCTTCGACTGGCAACATCATCATCATCAACGCCACCGCCGCACCAACAACATCCATCCCGTCTCACCTCTTCGTCCATCTCTTTTCTTCTCGCGACCTCCCGCTCCGCCTGCTTCTTCCGGAAAGCCTCCAACAACTTCTCCTTGTCCATCCCTTCGTACTTCCCCGCCCCCCCCAGCCCCTCGGCTGACGCTCCCCGTTCCTCCCCCCCTTCCGGCTTCGGCGGCGGCGGTGGCGGTTTCGCTTTGGGCTCCTTGCGGGTCATCACCGTGGGGAGGCGGGTGAGCGCCGTCTTTTCCTTGGTTCCCGCTATCGCCGCCCCTTCGATGAACACCGACATCGAGGCCGTCTCTAAAGCTCCGCTGTATACCTGAACTCCCCAGCGAGGCGTACCCACCTTCGGGGAGGCGGCGGAAGATNGGGGGGGGGGGGGGGGGGTTGTGGCTTACACATTGGTGCCCGAGGGCAGGGAAGCAGAAGATAGTTAACGGTGAGGAAACTGGTAGGTGCTTGGAGGCGTAGTGCCGTGAGTAAAGTGCAAGGATATCTACTAGAATAGTAAAAGTACACATGGGGGAGGGGGGGTGTACTCATAGCCGTGCATGCCGTAGTCGTGAGACCATTGACCTCGCATCCCTACAAAGCCGGGACGGAGCACGCCGGGTTCTCACCGGACCAGGCTCTCACATCACCAAGCGCGAATAAGACAGTCATCAAAGTACACATGGCAACGAATAAAACAGTCCAGAGCCCATCAAGGAGAAAGAAAAAGCCCCAACTCTCGCAACATCAGCGAGTGACGGACTATAGGGGTGAGCACTGAACGGTTGGTTGGCGGGTCCATGGACGTATAGTACAACCAAGCAAGCTGAGTACCGCAGCCCTGTTGAAGCTCGCGAAAGCACCCGATCCCCTCCAGCATACCGATAGCACACCTTCACTTTCCCCGTGACATTGTAGCGAGTGAAGTGCACCAGCTGGTGAGACCCGTCGACGGGCTTGATGCCCAGCTTCTTCTCGAGGGACGTCTCCAGCTTCGTCGAGTCTATGCTCACGAACTTGAGGTTGCGGTGATTGCCCATGAGATCCTTGAAGGCATCCTTCACATCGTCCTGTTTCTCGTTGCATGGTGGTGTAAATTGAGCAAGATGTACGACGAGGTAAGCTTCACGACACGTGTGTACCGCTGTTGTCGTGAAGAGAATGTTTACTGCTGCCAGCATCAAAAGCGGGGAACATCCCAAGCGGTCTGTCGCCGCAACCCAATAACCTCGTCGTAAGTGGAGCGTGTTCACCACACCATGACAGCCTCGACTTTGCGATCACCCTTTGCTTGGAAGGGTTGCCAGAAAACGCCAAAAAACACAAAGGCAAGGCGCGAAAACGCACTTCCCACCTCAAGTGGTCCCGCCTTCATGACCAATGCACACCGCTCCTTCTTCAGGCACTTGCTCTCCAGCTCGCGCGTGGACGTCACGGGGGACGCTCCCGGCGTCGCCATGACCTGCACCCACTTGAGCAGGGACGCGTGCGTCTCCATGTTGCGGCTCGAGGCCTGGGCTGGCGTCAGCCCAGCGCCGGTGACGAACAGAACCGGCTTCACTTCCTCCTACGCGGACAGCAGTGCGAGCACGTGGTCGCATTTGATCGCGTGAAGGTGTAGGTCTAGTGGTTTCGGTCAGTAAAAGGTGGTAGTACCGTTGATGAATATAAGAGGCAGGAGTATCAAGGATATGACCGTATCGCCGAGACCTCGCCTTCCGGGTCTTCGGTGTCGTGTGTCCTATTACTCTTACAGCGCCATCCCTTTGCGCTAGTATAGAACAGAGAGTAATATCACCCTACTTCGTGTACGTGTAACTCATCGCATACCCTGACCTATCGTTGGCGTCACAGACGGCGCTGCTGTACACAGCAGCACAGACCACCGCCTAACGGACGCAAAAAAAAAAACCCGGCGTCTTCCCACCGAAAGGTCGAACTTCTGGAGGATGCTCTTGCCGGAGGGCAGCGAGCCCGCGCAGTCAACGACACCGAACTTGGCAGAGCCCGTCATGGCCTTCGAGGCCGTGCCGAACCTCTTGTACACGGCGTCGTACCCCGCGCCCTCCCCGCTGCAGAGCACCACCCACATCCCTTTGCCTAGGAATACGTCCTTCATCTGGTTGCGGTTGTAGGTCGACAGGAAGTGTATCGGCGGTGCCAAAGCTTCGCGCAGGGGGGGACCACAAAAAGGTGGGGGAGGAGGAGACCGGTTCCACCGAACGAGGGGACAGGAGTTGGGGTGGGGCGAAACGAAGAGGTTGGTCGTTGTATTACACCTTCCGAACGGGAGACTTGTTACGCCAGTGAAGGTCGCCGCGTGTGGTAGAGACAAGCCGGTGACCTTTTCTCCGTTTCATCGAGGCACGACTCAACCCAAGGGTAGCTAGCACGCACCAGCATTCATAAAGTCGTCCTACATACAAATAGGGTTGTCACCCGGCTGGGAAAAGTGGAACCGGGTACCCGGTACGGTCTTCGGGGGGTGTACCCGGCGGGTACCCGGGTGACCCGGTTTGTCTGACACCCGGGTACCCGGGTATTATATTGCCGAAAATACCCGGGTATCAAAATAATGACCCGGAATCGGCCGGGTATTTTCAGAACCGGGTACCCTGTCCGGGTACCCGGTTCTGACGCAGCCGGGTGACAACCCTACATACAAAGGTGGGCTATCGCCCTGCGGTTGCCCGCTTCGGAGCTTTCGGCAGCGCATGTAGCCGGTAACTTGTACGTAAGGCCAGCAGGACGGCGCCATGTAGGTTCTGCTGGTTACAGATTAGATGCTGCTATACCGTAGATGCCAAAACAACGAGGCCAATCTTTCCGACAGGCGCCGAGAGATTGTCTGGCCTGTCGGTTACGCAAGCGTTTGGGCTTGAAGAGCCGGCGGTGTGCCAAAATCAAGTGTACCCTACGTTATTTAGAAACAAATCCGACAGGCTACCCATGATCGAAGGATCACAGTGATGATGCTCGGGGCAGAGCGGTGGAACGTGCAACGATTGAAATCGAGAGCTATTTCGGTTTCTCTCTCTCCACGGCCCACTTTGTGGCTCTCGCATACACGCAGTGGCCAACTGGTTCAAGGTTGTTTCACACGTCCATCCTGCTGCGCAAGTTCCTTCAACTTCTACCGTTGATCACCAATGAGCTTGCCGACTTCCGAGAACAGCAGTTTCTTCTTCCGCCTCGTTGTACTTCACCTTTTGCTAGAAAAGCTAGCGCGACGGCGACGCCCATGGCTACCACCGCCGGATACCATGGCGCCAGCCTCGATGGCGGTGGAGGCGGTGGCCGTTTCTTCTTGGCCGCCTGCCCATGACAGACAGCAGCGAACGCACAGATACATACCACAACAACAATCGCCAGGCGCGTGGTGAGTGGGGAGCTCGCGCACGGTGGACAGGGCATGTTCCAACTGCTGTTGCTGCTGCTATCTTGGCGTAGATGCATGGCGATGAACACAGACCTTACCCCGCAACAGCGGGTACTCCGAACTACTGCGGACTTGTGATGGTTATGGTTCCTCATGATGGAGGTGTTGTCTTACACACAAAGTCACTGCAAGAGCGAGTTGATCGGTCCGACCTGCAAAGCGTTCGCTGTCAGCATCCTCTCTAGAGGTCTCTCTGCAAGGCCTCGCCAGGGGCGATGGGCTGTGGTTCTCTTGGAGAGGAGTTCCCACCTGCTCATACCGACGCATGACATGACCGGCAGATGTCACATGCAACGACTTGAACACAGCAGCAGCGGCCGGTTGCTGCTGATAGCAGTAGGCCCAGGACTACGGCTAGCAGTAGGTCAGACACTCGACCTCGAGGAGTGACTAGAAAATAATATCCGCACAGCTGAGAACAGGGTACGTCCTACCTTAGGGTTCGCCATGCTCGACCGTGCTTCCGGCACGTGTATCTTGCTTGCAGCTGTAGCTAGTCGGCTCGCTGTTTGTGGTTCACAAACACGACCGGGAGGCCCGTAGCAGAGAAACTACGAAACACCCATATTTAAACATATCATATTTTGTGCCCCAGCAAGCACACCCACATTCAAGCATTTCTCCGCTCCTCCAAGGCCGGGCCCCCCTACTGTGCATCCTACGTACGTACCAGGAAGCCGACTGCTTGTGCATCGATCACATGGATTTAGTGTTCAGGCTGACTCTTATGGCTCCCGGAAGTTGGCCCGACGGAAAATAAAA